CGAGAGATCAGAGTTACAAAGAGAAGTGAAGTGAGAATCAGCAATTTCATGCCAGGTCCTTGGACAGGGTAAGCAAAGGCCTGTTCTCTGGCCCAGTGGATTAGCTAGCAAAGAGCTGACTTGTCACTCTCTGCTGGGTTTAGGGAAAATGAGATGTGGACTGAGCTGAGCAGACTCTCTGCAGTCTGCACAACAGGATCAAAAGCGGTGGCATTGGGAAAGAACTTCTAAATTCAGATCCGAAAATTTTGGTTAAAGAGAAAAACTTTTTTTCTTGGTTTGTTTTTAAACCTCTCTCTTTTTTTTTTTAAAGTGAATTTGCATAACATGCCTGATATAGACAAGTAAGGGGAGAGATATTACCCAAAACATTGAGGTATATTCTGTTCTCTGGTTATGTGTTTACATCTGTGACCAGTCTAGTGTATGTCAATACTACTTGCAGTCTGATGGAGGACTGACTTCCTCAAAGTCACAGCTCAGCACTGGTCAGTTACTGTAGAGAATTCAGCACTGTGATAATAGCCACATGCTCTAGGCACTTGAAATGCTTCTATAAGTTTTTAAGAATGTAGCCTTATTCTTTCCTTCATTCCTTCCTTTTATGGCTGAGCCTCTCTGCATTCTTAACACTTGTTGCAGTTCCAACTTTGAATTGCCCTACTTTAAATCCTTGGACATTAATGGACCTCTTTTGTGCATGAAAGCAGAAGTTGACCTTAAAAAGCGTAGCTCATGTCTGGACAGGACAGAAGCAACTATCTGATATTCAGAGCAGGCTACACAATGCAGTTTTCTCTGATTTTCATTCTAGGCAATATCCTGGCAAGGTTGTGAAAATATTTTTGGTTTGGTTTTGTAGTGCTTCATCCTGTTAATGTTACCCTTTTTTCCTGGATGACACTGCTGGTCAATGTTTCCCTTCTCCGTTGACAATTTTTGCCCCATTAATAGAGCAGAAAACCCTAAAAAGATTCTATGTTTAACTTTGCTAACTTCAAGGGATAAATCTTACCTGTGAGACGTCAGCTCTCTTTCAAGGATCCCTCTTATAAATCAGCTGTTAATTAGTTGCTTCTCCCCATAGATCTGTTTCAGCACCTTCTCCACAGATAGTTTTCCTTTTTGCTTATGTATCAAGAGCAAAATTTGATCCAGTGATTTTTAATATTCAGCTTTCTCAAGGGAATGCATTATTACATATCGGGATCTTTGATCAAAGAATCTACACAATTGCATGATACATTTTTTTGAGTTACATTTTACCATTAAAAAGCTTGATTCTACTTGACTCGTGTTACAAAGTAAAATATAGCTGTAAATGATAACTGAAGTCAGCTTGGTGGGCGTCTGTAAATTTCTGTTGAGTAATTCCTGTTGAGAAAATGAATTACTATGCATACTTTATCCACTTCAGTAACAATCTCTGCCTTTCATACGTAATATCACAATTTGGTATTTTCAATAACTGTACAGTAAAGAAAGAAAATATGAAGTGGAAAAAAGAAATTATATTTCCAGTTGTGAATCTTGGAAAAAATTGCAAAAACTAGTTGAGAGTAGCCTCATGATGATGAAAAACATATTATCTCTATTGTACAGGTAGAAATACTGAGATATGAAAAGATTAAATAATTTTCCCAAGGTCACACAGAAAACATGGAAAAAACCAAAAAGTAGAATCTTGAACTTCTGATTCCAACTTTTGTACATTTTCTCAGGACTGTTCTTACCTCTCTTTGTGAGGTTTGCTATACCAAAATACTGCTTTCTGCATCAAATCACAGTAGGGCTAATAACAATACAGTTTGCAGCTCAGCTCATCTATTGGTATTAACCTTGGCTTTAAAAACTGTGAAATGGGAGATATATTAATATACAGTACTGTGGAGTTAGCAGCAAATACTAGACTGGAAAAATATTTTAAAAATTCAGTAACTTTTCATACTCACATAACATAGTTTTAACTCCTTTGTTTCAGTTGTGTGTCCTGAGGGGTTGTGAAATGTTTCTGTACATTATTAACTTTAGACATCTGAAAAACTTTATAAAAATCAATTTTACCAATCCAAAGGGTGCATCTGGGCATATGTAATACATTTTTAAAGTACTGGGGCTTTTAAAGGAAGTGCTGCTACATTAGAGGTGCAGTCACTTTCTGTGTGACCCACCAGGCATGGCACTGTGTGGAAGGGTATGGATTTTCCATTCTATTTTTCCAGTCAGTGGAAAACATATAGCAATTGTAAGTATGTCCATAAGTATCCCACAGCCTATTCAGGAAATGTCCTTTATGAAACTTTACATAGGAGAGCTTGTGCTATCCAATGATGTAGTCTCAGATTTTTGTGTGTATTTCTGAACCATTTTCTTGTTCACATGTGGAAGATGCAGTCAGGTCTAAATGTTGAGGGAAATGAATAATGGCTTTGTTTTTACATTGCAAGTAAAACATGGTTCACAAAAATTCCCCTTAGCAACTTTTTTACATATGCGTCGTTCATGTTTTTAGTGGCTGAAGCTAATTATTCATAACAAGGTAGAATGCTGAAGTTGGATGATAATACTCAGAGCAGATTCTTTGTGGAGAGAAAGAAATGCAGATTCATACAATAAAACATATACTGCAACTACTCTGTCGTAAATTTCCCATTACTAATGTAAGTGATACTTAACTCCTGGATAAACTGTAATATTAGAAAATCACATATGACTCCATAAATGAAAATACCAAACAATGATGGACTAAGAGGCCCATGATGAACTTTACTTTCAGGTTATGTCTGTGTCTGATTGTGTGCTGAGAGTTTAACCTGAGCTGCAGCTCACTGTACTCTCCAGCTTACCTAACACTTGACTCAAGCCTGATAAATTTAAAAAAGGTGTTTGTACAAATTCTACTTATCTTTCAAATTGCAGTCAGCATCAGAAGACCTGCTTTGGCCATTTTTGCTGTGGATTTCTGTGCTTCTCAGTCATAGATCTGTTGAATTATGTCTGAGTATGTATTGTAGTAGCCCAAATGAAATTGGCTCTTAAAAAGGTTCTCCCACATAAAGTCTCCTTGGCAAGAGTTGGTTAAAATTTTCCTGGAAGTGATAAAAAAAAATCTTTGATACTAATTCTGCATCAATACTGCTCCTTGTGTAAGTTTTGAAATTAAAAAAAAAAGAAATCAACAACCAAAACCCGAAAAAACCCAGAAGGGTAGGGAGGAAAAGTTCACTGTAAAGAGGGATTAATCCCTTTCTTTTCTTCCCAGTTTCAGGTAAATCTTAATCTTGAGTGCCAATTTCATTGCCAAAATGTGTTTGTAGGTAATGCGCCAACCAACCACCATGAGGCCAGCTTTGTCGTGTAATATCACAAGATCCTGACATCTCTATACACAGTGAGGTGATACCAGTGCTTGGAAAATGTACTAGCATTTTCCTACACTGACGTGACTCTTGCAGCATTTGCTTTGCTCTGTGAGCCAGGTACGTAGAATTCCTGTGCTGTGTCTCCAGCAAAACCCTGCTGCTGCCAGAACTGCTTTAACTGAAAGTAGTATTTTCCTACCAAAAAAAAAAAAAAATCTTCTTACTACTGTTTATGCTTTATATTAGACTGTTAAGGCTAGATTTGCTCTAGAGAGACTTTTCTGGTTTTATTAAGTTGCACTGATGACCTACTCAGTCTGCTGTCCTTAGAAGAGATATAAATAGGACAACTTATAAATCTTGACAACTGTGAACTTTGCATGAGTTTGAAAATGAACATTTAAGCTGTAAATTTGATGGGGTAAGGATAGTAATCTTTTTGTTCTACATGAAACGTTTAGTGTATAGGATTTGGCCCATGTCTAGGATTGCTAGGAATGACAGTACTTATAATTTATTTATTTGTTTTAAGACTGCTTTTATATAAACCTATTTATAACATTGGACTCTTCACATTCCTATGACATGAACAACTGCAAATCTACAAGCACAAGTGTTTAAAGTGGGATACCTGTTGCTCAGCCACTGAAATACTGTTGTCTGATACCAACATTGCTTTGCAGATAGGGCCCTCAATAGAGCCCTGTGGAAATAGTGGTTTCCGAAGCAGAGACAGACACAATGCCCTGTTAGTGTTACTGAGATGGTAAGATCTTCTGCTAAGGAATCAGAGGATGAGGGCCACATTGCAACACTTCTGGAATGGCCTAAGTGAAAAATGGCACCAGTCACACCGAGAACGGGGACACCTGGCTTACCCGTGTGATGCCCTAAAGAGCTGTAGAAACACCCCAAAAGCATTGGTGGTGCCTTTGTTTTCTCTGAATGTCAAGCTTGCTGTTGATTTTCCATATGACTTCGAGAAAAATACTCTGTATTACTCTGTCTTACCTGAGAATGTGTGAAACTTTACTCAGTGTCACATGGTATGACGACACTTTTTAGTCCAGTGGTGGATGCAAAACGGTTTCTAAAAGTATGCAACATGAGGCTGTAACCTGCAAAACATAGGGACTAAGATCTCTGGCATTATGTGAAAATTGGAGAGACTGGCAACTTGTGCCTGCTGCCTTACACAGTACCTCAGTATTAACTTGCAACAGCCTTTTATTACACTGGCTCTTGGCACATTCTTTGCAGGACCACCAATAGTGAGCAGCTTTTCAGAATTACTTGGATGATCAAACCAAACATTTTCACTTGTGACCCAAGTCTGAATTTGAGCTTGAGCCTGTGGAGGTGAAGAACGTGTCTGTTAACTTACAGCGCTGCTTGCTATTGCCCTTGCCAGCAGGCTGCTCTGCGAACAGCTGCTGTAGCACAAAAGGCCAGAGGGAAGTGCCTTAGTTTTGCCCTAGTCCTTCCACAACTCCAAGTCATTGGAACTCAAGTGCATGGTAAGCTACAGGCAGTCTCTCCAGTGCAGAACAGGCTGTACAGTTGACTTGAACTGAAACATGAATCATCTCAGTGCTGAATTATTTTAATCCAATCAGTCATCTGTGTTAAAGGGTGTAAAGAGACAGCAAAGCGGAAAGAATGGCTGCCAAGTAGAGGATACAGGACACAAATAAAGCTGCTAAGATGAGATGAAATATGAACTAATAATGATTTATTCCAAATACCACTGGGGTTACAGAGTGAATCACTTAGAGATATTCAGGTGAAATGAATTCTGTAGGCTTCCCCTGAATGATTTTTCTAGTCTCAGTAGAGGTGAAGGGAAGGCAAAGCTGTCAGTTACACAGGGAGTACACACAAGAGTTTTGAAGTGCTCCCAAACAAATTCTCCCTAATTAATATGTGGTTTTCTAAGTAGACGAGCACAAACAGCTGTAGTTCTTTTTATAGATTCAAACTAATCTCTAGTACATGTTGGAGTTGAAGGATATAGAGAACAACATGCGGTGCATTCGTAAGGCTTTTCTAGCCATGGAAGTATTCTTTTTATACCCTCTAAAAGTGGAAGGGAATGCAGAAGAGTGCAGAGTATAGTCTTCTAGGATAGTACTTGGGAACAAAATCATGACAAGAACAAAGGGTCTAGCTCTTAGGGACACATACCATGCACTTCTTAGTAACACATGAAAAACGTGTGTGAGTTTTGGCCTATTTTCTTGACAGGTTCAGCCTTTTGTGACCCATATGAAACGGGCAACATTCGCTAGTATTTGTTCCCAGTTTTCACTAGTGTGAATAGCCTTCATGACAAAGGATGGGAAGAATTACATGGTTCGTATTTTAAAATAATTTTAAAAACCTAAGCAATAAGTCATAATAAAATTTCTTAGACTTGATGAATATCTTTGAACATACTTCCTTTTTGAAGATTATATGATTTCTCCCTTCCTTCTCCTTATTGCTAGCTGCATATATTATCAGTTTAATATTGTTCTCTGCCTGGAGACAATATCCGGTTGTGGTAGGTGAAGGGAGGAACTGTAATAGCTCCTTTCCATCTCTGTTCTATTAAAATGCTAAAGTGGGGATGGTGTGGATTCCACACATCTCTAGAACAACTGTTTTTGGAGAACTAACCTTTCTCCTCCCAAGATCTACTTAAAAAAAGCACATCTAAAGGTAAACCACTTTGAAGCATTAGAAGGCAGATGTACTGACTTACCCATAAGACACCTCAGTATAAACATTGCTGTGAATTCTGCATTCTTCTCATAAAACCTGCTAAAGGAAACTCAGGAGGAGTTTCCTAATACTCTTCTATAGCTCTGGGGAGGTTAGCTAAGAGTGGGTTAAATGCATCTCTTAAGTGACAGTTGGAAAAAGAAACTAAGTATAGAAAGGACCATAGCCTCCTCCTCAATGTTATTCCCTTTTCTTGCTCCAGAATCTCAGAAATTAAAATATAGATCTGAGACTTCAAATTACTGCCCAAGTGCATTGTCTTTCAAATGGATTGTAGAAGAAAATGAGGGCAAATGTGTTATTAACGATGGAAGGGAGCACTGACACTGTGATTTTCATTTGGTTGAGGAAGTTCACAATAATGGAGAAACCATCTTCAGGAAGTAATGTACATTTTTCCCCAAATCTCTCAGCTTTAGCTCTATAATAGCTTTGAAGTTAAACTACACTAAGTGAACAAAGGCCAGCTTTGAATTTCATACTTCCCTTTCCTCTCAAGTTAATCCTAGGAGGCTTGTAGGTAAGATCCCTGCAGTGGTGGAATATACCTGAGCAGAGTAAAATCCAAATAGAAGAAATCATTTCATGAGCTGCATAAAGAAGAGATAATAAAATTACAACATGACTCAGATCAAGTAGTGAACCACTGGAGAGAGTTCTCATGCTGAAAAGCTTACTCCCCTTGCTTTTATCCTTGCTTGTCTTGTGTTGTGTCTTTGTAGGAGCATTTCTGAACAATGTAGGAAGGTATTCTGGATTCAGCTGGTCCATAGTTGTTCCGGAGGTATTGGCTAAGGTGACATTCTGGCTTGCCCCACTCACTTAGCTGTTGGACTTCTTGTTATGCTTATGGCTGTTGATCTTAGGGTACAGGAAACCAGAGTTGTATCCAGAAGGCAGCGTTACTCCTTGGACATTGCTGTATGTTATTGTAATGCTGGGTATCTGGGCTGCAGAATGTCTGTGGTGAGACTCTTTTCTTTGTCCAACACCTTTCAGGCTTTCATCTTTCTAAAGGATGCAAGGATTTAAAAGAAATGGAGAACACAAACATCTACAAGGAGATCAGGTTGCATCATCTATGAAAAAGTGGGATACACTTAGATAAGCACTTTGCCGATCCCCACAACTAACTCAAAAACAAACTTAAAGGATAGAGGAAAAAGTAGACCTGAACATTTTTTTAATATTTCATGGGTAACTTAGGAGAAAAAAAAACCCCTGTTAAACAAGCTAATGTACTAAAGCACAGACTTTGCATTTGCTACTTAAGAGCTGGTATACTTTGATGAAAGTCCAGGCTAATGGTGGCACATTTGACTATGAACAAAAGTGCAATGAATATGCCCAGACTGTCTATGAATTCAATGAAGTAAGGAGTCGCCCCATAAAGAGAGACTAATTAGGTTGATTTGGGCTAGAGGTAATGTAAAATGTAGTGGTAATAGCATCGATAGTTTGAAGGGGGAAGCAAACTAGAGAATCAAGTGAAGAAGGGAATTGAGGGAAAGCTTAATTAGCATTTTTTGACAATAACAATGTTCGCTGTCACTTGCACAGGACCAAAAAATGAATGTGAGGATGAGGCTAGCAATAGCTCATAAGGATCACTACTAACAATAAAGAGATAATTTAAGCTGTTTATATTAGATTGGGGTCAATACTGCAAAGATAGAACTGGCTTATTTTCACTTGCCAACTCTTTTTTCTTATTTCCCTGTCTGTCAAGAATTCAGGCAAGTTGATTTACTCATGGCAGATGTCAAAAAATTTTTATCAGTATGTTGCAGCTTTGTTACATGGAAGAAGAAACAGACACTAGCACAACATCTTACTGAATAGGTGATATGTTTCAAAACCTACCGTGATTTCCTCCAAGTTGCATTTTTTAGATGTTTGGTGCTACCCAAAACAGAGAACATTAAATAGTTAATGATGTCACTTTGTACAGCAGTACTTCCCACAAGACTGTGGCTGTCTTAGAGGTACAGCCATTGGAATGGCAATCTCAACTTACTGTGTATATTATTTGTATAAAGATGGCATAAAATTAATGCTTGCTGCTCCACTAAGAAAATCACAGACCTCATCAGAGGAGCTACTGAATTCAAGAAAATATTCAAGTTTCTTGAAGAAGTTGGACTTAAGGAGAACTCTGTAGTACATGTGTTGTCCTTCTGCTTAGTTTCAGGAATGATCTACCCTTTGTGGTCCTGTTTTCTATATGCTGCTATGAGCATTGTGGGATTTTTGCATCTCAAAAGAGAACTTAATTTGTGCTGAGAGACTGGGATTGTCATTAGTTTTTGTTCCCTTGGTTAGTTAGATCCATGCCTAATATTAAAATAATAATTCTTACGGTAGGTGTAGCAGTGTACTCTGTCACATTCAATTCTACCATGGATATGTCATCAGCATCTACAGGTGTCTGAAAAATGAACACAGATAAGAAAGACATAAATTAGGTACAGGTGTGTCACAATATTTTACATACATGAAATGCAAAGTATAGGAAAAAGAAAAAAAGGGGGACAGCAGAGGACTGACTGAAAAGTAGTGATACGCTAAAAATAGCTGTGTTTTGTACCCCTCACCATATGTGTTCATTTGATATCAAATGGTGAGACAACAGAAAGATTGACCAAGTAATTTGGATAGTGAAATACAAATATTACTGAATACATACTTCAAACTGAACACAAGACAACATACCATTCAGATGCTAAATTCACTTAAACAGCACCATTGCTTGTCAGAAATGCAACAAAGACAGCTGAATAATGAACCAGGGTGGAAATAAAAAGCTGATGACCTTTTACAGCCTCTTAAGTCATTACTCATTGTGTTAACTCATAGGTTATCTCTATCTTCTTGGCAGGATCCTTCATGATTAATCATGGTAAAATGCGCATATTTGTTAACCTACCAGCTGTCAGAGAATCTAGATATTAAACAGTTCTATTACCTTCTCACCAATCCCAGAATCACGGCTCTTCAGTTTAGGTTTGGCTCTTATGTCACTAGTTTGAGTTGTGTCTTTACCCGTATCATAGGAAATCTGTCTGCTAGCAAGTCTGGAGAACGTACTGGGGGTATCAGTTTCTGTGTCAGTACAGCCCTAAAATGAATGCAGCAAAAACAATCACTTTAGCTTCCTTAGACTTCTGTCCAGTTTGCCCCCTGAGAATCAGTTTTACCTAGACAGAAATCATAAAAGAGAGACATTGTATAAAAGACTTTTCAAAAAAGTTATGCCATGTATGACTTCATAAAATCTTTACTTATAAGGGTACACACAAAATTATCAAGTCTGTTGATTCTAAAATTCAGCTTCTTTCCCCCCCCCCCCCCC